ATCATTTCTTCTTTTATAACATGGATAGCTATCCTCACGATGAACTGTATAAAGTACAAAATTCTTAGAACAATGATTTCTGCATGACAGCCTCTCATGTAGGGGCTTTGCTTATCCTTGTCACTGCACGATCCATGAATTATATGCTTAATGACAAGGGAATATAAATGCCTATTCTTGTCAGGGTTAGGTATTTTGGCAGACACAATTCTGTCGTATGATTCTAGATTCAATAATTGGAACCCTGATTTAAGAATAACTAGTAAATGAGCATGTGGAAAACCTCGCTTTTGGAATTCAATAACATAGACACAGGCTGCAACCTCTCTAAAAATTTGTTTCTTAAGAAGCTCGACCTTTGACATTTCAAACTTAGCTCTAAATACTCTAGCCAGCAAATCAAGTCTATCCTATGATTTTTCATGATATTGAAGATTATCTTGAATTTCCTTCCACATCGGATTGCAAGTCATAGTAAGAAATATGTCAGGTTTTCCATACTTTTGAACTAAGGTCATTACATCAAGATATTTTCTCCTCATGTCCCTTGGGCCGCCGACAAATGAAGCTGATAATACTATTCGGTGACGGACTCTAAAGCCCTGAGTTTGGCCTATTGCAACACTGTCCATAACTCCCTGAAGGATCTCTGTTCTAATTTCAGTTTGCAACTTCCTATGAAAATCAAGTTTAGATGTCTCAATTTTTATATTTGTGCCAACAACAAACTGCTGTAATAATCTCAGACTATGAAGCAACATAGAATTATCTTTATCTCTTATTTGCAACCGATAACAATAGTACTCCTTAGCAGACACAGTATAATCCTAATCTTTTTTCTGTTAAGCGGCTAAAAAAAAAAAGAAAGACATATTATAAGTGAATATATAAAACACAACAATAGTATTAATGTATAAATATAAGAAATACACATGCCTATATCTTCCATGGTGAATAAGTCAGAAGGATTCTGGGCAGAAGAAAAATCAATATGAAAATCAACATTAGAAACATTTGTGCTTTTCCTTTTTGAACATACTCTCATGATCCCATGATGCCAACCAGATTCACCTCTATGGAACAAAAGAGGAAACTGAAACGGATCGTAACACGCATAATATGATTGGACTCTGTAACTTGTGTTTGAATGGCTATAAACCTAAATGTGAGTTTTTTTCAACTGACTCATCATTTATCTCGGTCCATATAGCGGCCATTTGAGAGGTAGTAGGAAGATTAAAAACACATTGATCTACCCCAAAATAACACTTAAGGACTATGATATGGCTCTCAAGGGCTGGAACATCCTTAATATCTTTAAAAAATCTGGTATAAGGATTTTCTTGGAGGATCGTCATTAGTAGCTTGAGAGTGGTCGGTCAAAGCCTATCAGAAATTTGAACTCTCTTTACAAGCTCTTCATCAGTGTCAAAAAAAATATAACTGAACTCCAGATGATTTATCAGACGGAGAGATTAGACCATCCAAAAAGTGATAGACCTGACCTTGGACTTGAAATGTATAAACCCCTTTTGTATTCTTTGTCAATTCGCGATTATATTTTAGCACCATAAGTGTGAATGCCACATTATTATTCTATGTACGAGCATTTTTTCTAAAATGCTCACATTCTTCATCATTACCAATGAATAGGTGTTTAAGAGCATAAGATATAACAGGAGCAACAACAGAGATTTCACCTCCAGAGCAACAAAAAGAAGGATGTTCTGAATGGAATCTTTTAGCACCACAATGATCACAATTTGGAGCAGTAGGAAGAGTAATAGATTGACTTGGAATACTTTCTAGGTGAGCTAATTTGGAAGGCGGATGCTAAAGATTGGTTCCTGGAAAGATCTTAACATTACGACAGAAGCATACAGATATGTTTAATGATTATGATTATAAACAGGAGCACCTAGCTGGTTTTTAAAACACCGAGCAACTAGCCATTTTTTAAAAACACTGACAAACCTAAAGGATTTTATGTGACACGGACTAAAACATGGCGAACAATCATACAAGTACTAATTTCAGTCTTTGACAACTCAGAATAAAAAAGGCTTCTCTTAAGAATGAATAACAGATAAATGATCAGCGGATAAAAAGAAAATAGACAAAATGGCCATCACTTAGAAACCTAAAGGAAATATCTGGTATAGAGTACAAATGCACATGAAGAAAAGATATTCACATCAAACACAAAGTCAAATATGCCAAAACAGGAGTTAAAAGGAACGAGTTCTCGATAGGCTGTTAACATAGGAGAAATATGAATAGATGAGATAGGAGGAGTAAGAAAAATGCTGTTGTCATAAGAAAGTGAGATGCAGGCATTCGAAAAATAACAAATTAGACTTATACCTCCAGAACGAAACGACAGAGCGCAGGTTGATGTAACAGAAGAACACGAGTGATTTTTCAATTCTAAATTACCGCTAACACTATCTAATATCTAAGGACTGGTTTCGCATAGGAGGTTCCTTGAGAAGGAAAAGATGACGAGGACAAAACACCAGAATCTAAAGTAACATATTCAGACTGACTATTCAGCAAACTATTTCTACTGTCATTTAAAGAGGCAGAAGCTGGCATGCAACGATCTACATCATCAATAAAAAAAAATACCAGTTTGAACATAACCTAATGGAGTCTTAGAAAAATAGTCTCGGCTATTTTCTCTAGGCCTCTGAAACTGAATTGTTTCAGTAGAAGAAGACACAGTGGCATTTCTCGTTTTTGGAGCGTCATGCTCTCGCCGACGATAAAGGAGATCAGCTTTCTGATCATGTGGCATATCCGCACACCTTTTATGTCTTTTAGCATTCTTATCCATCCTTAGATAATGTCTATCGGAAAGATATCAAAACAAAAAGTAGGAAGAGGTGTGTCTTCAAGAACACATGCAAAAGACAATAGAAAAGTGCACAGCAGGAATTCTAAGAATACATGCTTCCAATTAAGTGTATAAAACAGGAAGAAAACAGAATATATAATCCAATGGTAGCACTGAATCATCAAGGAGGGAAAAAGGCGGAACAGCTAGGGATAACAACCAGAATAGAAAAACAGATAGCACCTTTTTGTGAAAGAAAGCACAAGAGTAAATACTTGAAGTAATAAACTCTGCAAAAGAAAACAACAAGTGATGAGAACCAGCTAAAATAAACCTACATAAGGAAAACAAACAGAAAGTTAAAAATTTGACCAAAGAAAAACTTACCATAGAATAACAAACAACTCTACAAAGTCACAGACAACAATAAATAAATTATAGAAAAAGAAAGCAAAAAGATTACAAAGGAATAGAAGTAGTAGGGTAACAACAGCATATAGAAGGTAATTAAAAAAAAAGAGAAACAAAAGCGAAATACAGACATATTCAGCAACAACTGAAGGCATCAAAAGAGCAGTGAATCAAGGCCTGTTCATACAGAAGACAAAATAGAGCAGAGTAAGTAATGCCTCCAGACGAAAGGAAAAACTACAACAAAAGCAAAGCAAGTAAACGTAAAAACTATGACAAAGCGAAGGCAGTCAGCTATAGTAATGCACATGTAGTAAGCCTGTCGAAAAAGAATTGCCGAGGAGAGCGGCTAAGGCAATGAAAAGGAAATTAAGCAGTAAAGAAGTAGCACAAGGTCAAGTTAAACAGTAGCACATTATGTAGCAAAATATCCACAAGGCAATGTAAGTTATGGAAATGATAAAAACCAGAGGTTGGTGGAGAGGAGAAAAGGGGGAAATCTGCAAGAAAGAGTAAAATAAGTCGATAAAAGAGCATGAGAGCTCACCAAATACCGTGGAATCGGCAAGGATGAGGAGCAGCAACAACAACGAAACAGGAACGAACACACCAATTATTTGATTGTGTGGAGAAATAACGAGTACAAGCAACATGCTTCATTATTACAGCCACCTAATCCTCGGGAAGGAAAGAACAGAGAGAAGATGGGGAAGGTGTCCAAGGATTGTGAAGACACAGTAAATTTTGAGTAGGAATAGCCTTAGGGTCTGGCTGAAAAGGAAAAAAGAAGCGGGCAGAAAGCAGCACAGTAGCAAAAACAAGCTGAAGGAAAGACGAACAAAGGAGGGAGGAGAGGCAAAATCAGTGCAACCGAGGCAAATTTTGAAGTAGAAATAACACCAATCTGTGGCCGAAAAGAAGCAGGTTGGAGTGGATAGAAAGGAAACTGATGAGTGGGTAGAGAGGAAGCTGATGAAGCAGAAGGAAGAAAAGACGGCACAGAACTAGAAGGAAGGAAAGAGAGGATGAAGGAAGGGGAGGGAAAAATCTGGTGCAACCAAGCTTAGCTAACAACCAATCATCTCGCGCCACGTCACCAAAAAGCCAATCCCCTCTCGCCACGGGGAGGACGACGACGCCGACGTGGATCCCCGGCTTTCACACTTAGTTTATGTGGTTGATAAGTTACATGTGATAACTTTATCAATTTACATATCTATTACCTCTCAGTTAACAAGTATCGCTTCAACTGCCGACACAAAATGAGTTTTTTGACTATATATATACACGCACACACACGAAAATTTATGCTGACGGGAGTGAATTTTACTTTGTCTAAACCTACGTACAGAACATAAAAATAATTGTAAATCCTAAGGGGTCAAAAGTTTAAATTTTTAAAGAGCATTTTTAACAATTTTCAATTTTCTTTGGGAGCAAAATCGAATTCTGTAAGACTGTTGTTTGACTTTTTTTTTTTAGTCGATATGATAGTTTCCTATACTATAGGGAGGGGGAGGGACTGAAGAGATCCTGAGATAATTCGGAGAGAATTGAACCACCATCAAACCAGACGAGTGCACTACGCACCCGCCTGAATTTTTTAAATAATGCCACATTTAATCAACATAACATATAATGCACCAAGAGGTTTCAAACTTTTCGTCGTTGTCACGTGACTAGCACCTGTCTCCTTAAGCAGTCGGATCATATGGGTGCTCCATCATTATTACTTTATACGGGTAAATGGACAGCTCGATTGCCCCGTCTTCAGTGCGCATGTGATTTCCTTTCCTCTTTCAGCTCTTTCTGCTGCTATGCCTGAATCTATGAGAAACATCTTCCTAAAATGATGATTGGTGCAATTTTGTTCACTTCTATCGATGCGATGTAAATTCTTGGAGATGCCATCTCAATCATGCGTCAAGTTTTCCCCTTTTTGAGCTTTTCCCTTTCACTACCTTCTCTGTCCGAGTTGCTTCTTTAGCTTCTTCATTTTTTTCCTCCCATTTCACTGAGTGCTCGGCCTTTTTAAGAATCCTTTACTTGCGAGCTCTGATTGCGGTTCCTCTAAGCATTGGCTTTGATTAATCTTGCTGGGTTATGGCTCTTTCTTTGCTTGGTGTTGTTCTGGGTCTTTGCTTTTAATTTTCTTGAGCCTGGTTGAATCTTCCTAAGAATTGTTTCTAGTACTGGTGTGCTTATGAAAGTATTGCTAGATATAGGTTGTGACTATGTCTTTGCTTGGTGCTGTTGTCGGTCTCTCTTGTTATGCGTTTGTTGATGTGTTAAGCTTTTGGACTTTTTTCCTAGGCAGACAAAATTTTAATTGCTTGGACTTGAGCTTGGTTGAGCTTTTGTAAGAATTGTAGCTTCTCTTACAATTTTTCCTTTTCATTGAGTTTACATTTCAACTTGTCAGATGATGGAGCTTTGTATAGTAAAAAATGTATATGTGTTGCCTTTTCTTCTCGTTATGGTTTTTTGCCTTGAAAGACTGAGTTTTTTTATTTGATTTTTTTTTTTGCTGATTACAAGAGATTTCCCTGGTTGGTGTTTTGTCTCATCCTTTTTACATGCCCTCTAGGAAAATTGATAAGTCACCATTGCCGTGTGTCTCTATCTGTGTGAACAAGTTTGTATGTGTACTAATCCAAGTTTATGGTTTTACTTATAGAATGAACAATTGCCACTTGTCCAGCTAAAATCAGGAAATACTCGAGATGGTAGTGGAAATAACAGTTACACGGTTGCTTATTACTTTGAAGAAAGCGTGGCAACATCTTCTGGCAACAAAGATTTCTGCATCAGCGCCAACAATGAACTTGTCCAAGCTGAAGAACAGAATGCTCAAACAGAATGGCAATGTCATTTTTGTACATTAATCATTTCTGTCCCCCTTGAATCTTCACTTATCCAATTTATTAACATGGCACGCTTTTTAATTTCAGAGGGAGAACAATCTTCTTCACGAATACAAGTTCACCTCAGAGCAAGGTTTAGAGATGCTGGAAAGATAGAAAAGGAATCTACAGAAGCTGATAACTCTGGCAGTGCCAAAAAAAGACTTGTCTGATCTTTCTTTATCCATGGTACTCCTTGAAGCTGCATTGATGTAGTAGGAAATATTTTGGATTATGTCGAGATTAGACAAACTCGGACAAATGTAAAACTTATGCATTCATGGGCTTATGTGTATGCCTGGAGTTGCATTTTGATGTTTTTGTTTCAAACCCATGCTTCTGTTAACACAGCTGAGATATTCTGCATTGATAGCACTAATGGGTTTTGTATCATGTGGCTTTTGGATATTTATTACCATTTGATATATTTCCTTATTACCTTCTCCATTTGCCTAATAGTGCACCTAACTTTCAGATTTGAGTAATATTTTTCTATAAGAAGTAAGAAAATCATTTGCTGTACTGATCTTCGGGGCCTATGGAATAGAGATTATGTACCCCTAGCATACACATTCATAATTCAAGTATTATGTTACTAAAGTCTAAATTATCGATGCAATTGTTCTCGCCCGATGCAATGTACCGATCACTGGTTTCGTATTTCTAAATAGTTTCACTTGATTTAACCTTCTGTTGAGCTTCACCTTTTACTTCTTTGTTCGCTCTATCATGAATTTGGATTTTACACTCAGCTACATTTTTTTATTACCTTTTATATTTTTTTTCTTTTGATATCAATTTTTAGTTCAATTACGTTTTTACCTTATCCTCCTAATCTATATTATCTATGTAATAAGTTCTGTCTTACAATTGTGCTTTTGGATTGAAAGCTATTTTTAAATTTCTTCTAAATTTTCTTAAATATATTAATGATTAAATTACAAGGTATGTAAATCTCAATAAATAAAACACATGCAAGGGAACCACAAGATATTTTATTCCAATAACATTATCATTATCCATGTAATGCCTACTTAGTGACTCCTAAATAGGCAATAATGCTGACTATTCCATTGCACAACGCCGCAGTTATAACTCCTAGTTACGACAAAGTGGTAGGAGGCAAGGATTGCCTCAGACCCTTTCCTCCTACCCCATCAAGCCTTAATGGATTGGTGGTGGTGGTTCTGTTGTTTAACTGTTGCCGCCTATATATGTGGTTGTTCTTGACTTCTGGTCTTTACTCCTGTGTCGGTCTCCAAAACCGAAAATGGAGTCAGCAGTGAAAGATTGGATAAAAGCCGATGAAACAGCTAAAGAAATGCTCACTCGGCTCTTCACGGAGCGACCCTTTTTGCCACTGCCTCCGCCGCTTCACAAGCTTCCTCTCCGCCCCGGAAACGTCGTCGAGGTTGCCGGCCCTCCTTCTTCCGGTAAAACCCACATCTTAATGCAGGTAATTTATTAGAATTAGTTAATTAATGATCAATTAATACTAGTTCTGCATTTCTCTTTTTGGGTTAAATCGTTAATATGTGAAAAACCATTTTCTTGAAATTTTTTTGTGAATTGTTTTGCAGGCTGCGATTAGTTGTATTTTGCCTAAGCAATGGAAAGGCGTCCAGTTTGGAGGCATGGAGCGGTTAGCTGTTTTTGTTGACTTGGATTGTCGGTTCGATGTTTTACGCTTTTCCCGATTGTTAAAGCACAAATTAATTCAAGCCAATAGCAACGGTAAGAAGTCATACGTTTCCGTGTATTATTTCAGTTCATCTTTGCATAATGATTTTAGATGTTATATAAGTTTTGTTCTTTTCCAGTTGTTTGGTGGGGTTGTAATTATATGGCAATATAATGGGGATAAACAGAGCACTCCATTCCATTCTCATAATTTGGTGTTGAAATCCGAAATGTTTTAAGAGAATAATGAGGAATTAAATTACAATAGGAACACATTTAATGTAATGTTTTACTAGAAAAATGTTCCATTTACAAACAGGGTAAAAATTTATTTCTTTTATTTTACTCCCAATGGGCCTGGATGCTAAACTCTATTCGTATTTGAAATTCCCGTACGTGCAACATGCATTTAGGCCTGCTAGTGTGAAAAATCCTTTACATGTTAGTGTAGGAAAGGTTAATTGTGTTTCATTCCCAAAAAGAGACAGAAATGTGAAGATAGACAGGATATATGATTTGATGGATTTAATAACATCTACTACTTTGTTGTCTTCCTATAGCATGTTGGGGCTGGATGAATTTGAAACTAATTCAATCTTTGGTGTTTTTTTTTTTCAATTACTCAGATATGAAGTCACAAACTCAATATGATAAAGAATTATTTGCTGAGTGCATGAGACGCTTCTTATACATCCGTTGTTACAATAGTTTAGAATTTCTTGCCACTCTTAAGGTGAGTTAGCAAATGGGAGTTCAACATTTTTGAGCTCCAAATAATACTCTCCTTGCTTGTTTTTTTCTAGTGGACTGAAATTCTTCATTTTTCTTGAGCAAGGAAGTTTTAATACACAAAAAGCATGAGTTATTGCATCTTCCTGTTGCGATATTATCCTTGTGCTTTTTGAAATTTTGGAATCTTTTATGCTCACTTATGGTGGAACTGATACTTGAAGGACGAGAGAATGTTGACTTAAAGTTTGCCATCATTCTTTGCATCTTTATGATGCTCAGGATGAAAAGGAAAAAAAAAAAAAAAAAAAAAGACACTTCTGCACACGGAATTATACAATTTGGCCTAACTATGCAGAAAGTTACTTTTGCATACATCTGCACTTGGAATCATGCACTTCTTTATAGTTGTCTGTTGTGGCATAATTTGTTTGCATGTGTTTATACATTTTGAACTAAACTAGATTTTTAAAAGATACTCATGCAAACTACTTAGTTACCAATAACATGCATTACAGAAAATAAATGACAGTAAACATTCATTTCTTTCTTGACTGACGCCACTTATGTTTTGATCATTATTTTTTCCTTGGAGTCTTGTTACATTTCTTGTAAGCTAAATGAATGTGTACTAACTCTTCTGAAGGTCCTTTGCATGTTTAACTTCCTTTTCCATCAAGAAGTAGATTACAAGCATAGATTTTGTTTTCAAAATTTGAGGATCAAAGATGTCTGTTTTGGTTACTTGTTCATGCACCTTTTCTATTTTATGGTGTTATAATGTCAAAGATATACAGTTTCAGTAATATTCTTTTGTTTTCTGCCCAGCAGACTATGAATAAACAACTTCAAAAGCAAAAGGATATACAAGGTGTTGGTGTTCATTTGCTTGTGTTGGACAGGTTTGGCCAAGAATCCTAATAGCAAGTATATGCTTCTTTGCTCCCAGGCCCTCATCTTGGTATAACATCCTTAGTTTAATTCTTTGAAGAGTGTCTCACAATGATTCACTGGTTTAATGAAGGCCACAACTCAAAACAAAGTAAAACAGCAAAACCAAGTTTGCATGACTGGCATAATGTTTTAGACCAATTTTTGTTAGCAATTATTGCAGAAAATTTAACATACTTGTCTGTGCAAGTAGAACTATCTACAGGCTTTGGGCATATATGTGACTGCATTGGGTTTGGGATGCTCATAGGGACCTGTCATCTAGCTTGTGAAATTACATTAAGCTCTTCAAAAAACGTTGATCTTTTTCTTTATGCCCCCTTAAATTGCTTAATATCATAATATTTAGATAATAAGTTCTTTAAAATGTTAGGCATGTAACTAGTAAATGGAATGTGATAACTTAATCATCCACTCCCATACTGCATGGAGAAATTTTTTATCTTTATTGGAGCAAGTTGGTCTGTGATACTCTAGAAAATCTCCAACATTTCTTTCAAGTGTACTTTGTAAAAGAAGGGATTCAAGAAAATAATCACTTAATTAGAACGCATGTCCCCCAAATACTTCCTGTAATCACTTAATCAGAGATGGACAAAAGAAGACAAAAAATGAAGGCGCTAGAGCCAACTGTGTGCTGTGAAGACTTCCTTTCCTTTTTAAGAATTATGTGCATGCACACATCCATAACTATGTGCATGTCAAAGTATCTGCGTCCAGAATATATCCGTGTACATAGATGATTGAACCACTATGTAGCATTTATGCATATTATAATTATGTGCATATAGAGTTTTTTTTTTAGTGTAATATCTATATATTGGCACTATATATTACAGGGTGTTTACTGTGGTAGGTTACCTGTTAGGAAGTATCAGGTAGTCATTGTGTGGGAAACCAATTAAAATTTTCTTCATGTAAAATTTGGTAGTTTGATCCTTAGGGAATGCTGAAGTTTTTGTTGATTACTATTGTCTGTATGAATAAGTACCATCTTAGCATCTGACCACGATAACAGCAAAAGCATTTTTTTTTTGGCAGAATTTAAGTCTTAATTTCAAGTGGAGATATTTTATTTTTATTTTTATTTTTTTGGTATGAATGACCATGTGGTTTCAGCTTACCCAAAAGGTATTCTGTTTCTCAATATCTGTAATTTTCTTTATTATCACCAGCATTGGAGCTTTCTACTGGATGGATCGTGCTTTGCCATCACTACTTGTAGGAGGCAGCAACAGGTAAAAGACACAAGGATGATTTTTAATTGACCTGATGGATTAATATCTTCCCCTCTATATGCTTTGGGCTACTTTGGGCTATGCTGACACTTTTTCTTGGCTGAGCAGATATAAAAAGACAAAAGTGAAATAAAAAGTGAAGCTATGATAAAAAGTAAAAGCAGGAAGCTCAGCTGATGCCTGTTCATTGTCTATATTGTGAATTTAGTTGTAGAGATGTAGTTCCAATAGCTTAAGTCCCCATTCTGTTGGTTTTAGTAGAAACAAAGGCGTGGCTTAGCATTTCCTGTTCAATTTACTGTTATCATATTCATTTGCCTGTTGACATTGTTATATTCGATCAGCACTAAAATCCAGACTGGAGATTTTTGTTCTCCTTGCTTTTGAATGGAAGATAGAAGAAAACTATAAATTGAGGTTCGCCAATCAAGCATTAGCCATTCTCTCACCATTTTAAGTGTTGGTCTAATGTATACAACATTAACTTGAACATGTTTCGGCTAGGAAAATTTAGTGCCAAAAGATTTTTTTAAAGTTTTTATCAATAAGACTCACGGCTTAGTCTTTGGACATTGTTAATTTGCAAAAAATTATACCTAAGCTAAGCTTATACTTAGAATGGACTATGGGACTTCTGGAGAAGAAGCACTTGAATCTAAAATAAACTGATGGCCTTGTAGCTTTCTTCTTTCTACTAGCAATTCCCTACCTCATTTATAAATTTGTACAATTCCCAGTTGTGGATTGCTTTAGACTTAGGGATGGATGTGTATTTGATTTTATTTTTTCATTGAACCATTCTTGCTATCCATTCATTCTACCAGCAATACATGCAAGTTCCTACTCTTC